GTCAAAAAATGGGCAGAAGAGCTAAAAAGAAACTTCTCTGAAGAGGAAATGCAAATGGCCAACAGACATATGAAAAAATGTTCAACATCACTTGTAATCAGAGAAATGCAAATCAAAAGTACCATGTGATACCATCTTACACCTGTGAGAATGGCACATATTAAAAAAACTAGCAACAACAAATGTTGGCGAGGTTGTGGAGAAAAAGGAACTCTTTTACACTGTTGGTGGGAGTGCAAACTTGTCCAACCACTATGGAGAGCTGTGTGGAGATTTCTGGACCTACTAAAGATAGAGCTTCCATATGATGCAGCAATTCCACTCGTAGGTATTTACCCAAAGGACACAGAAACATCAATTCCAAAGAACACCTGCACCCCTATGTTTATAGCAGCACTATTTACAATAGCTAAGGTTTGGAAACAGCCCAAATGCCCAAAAACAGATGACTGGATCAAGAAGATTTGGTACATATACACCATGGAATATTACTCAGCATTCAAAAAAGATAAACACATGCAATTTGCAGCAACATGGATGGCGCTGGAAGGGATCATGCTCAGCGAAATAAGCCAAAAAGAAAAAGAAAAATACCGGATGGTCTCACTCATAGCAGGAATCTAGAAAACTTAAATAAGGGACCAGGAAAATGAATAACTATAAGAAAGTGAAAATCAAAATCAACAAAAAACTATGGACCAGAGACACTTTTTGGGGGGTGGGGGCCGAGAGGGGAGGGATTCGGGTCAGATGGGGGGGTTTGCAATTGTATGGGGGAATGTAAAAATAAAATTTATTATTTAAAAAAAAAAAAGAAAACCATCCTTTTATAATTGAAACAAAAAAAAATACAAAATACTTGGGAACAAACCTAGCAAAAGAGGGGAAGGATCTATACAAAGAAAATTATAAAACACTGTTAAAAGAAATAGAAGACGACACAAAGAAATGGAAAGAATTAACATTAAGAAACATGAAAAAAGAATTAACAAGATCATGAAGAATTAACAGGATTAAAATGGCCATCCTACCAGAGCAATCTACAGATTCAACGCTGTTTCCATAAAAATCACAATGACATTCTTTAAAGAAATGGAACAAAATATTGGTGAAATTCTTACAGCAGGTTTTGGTGACTCCATGTGAATTTCATCAGTATTTGTTCTAGTTCTTTGAAAACTGTCACAGATTTTTGGTGGAATAGCATTGAATCTGTAAATTGCTTTTGGGAGGATGAACATTTTGATAAGGACCACCACTGTCACGGGTACTGGCGAGGGTCTCACGTGACTGGTCGCGTGTGGGGGGTGGTGGCGGTCACATGACCGCCCACTGTGGACGTACCCGCGGCAGCGCTGGGGCGGGAGTCTTGCGAGCCCCCACAGCTCAGTGACGGGGCTCGCCAAGATAGCGGGAGTCCCTGACCACGAGTTGGCGGGTGGGAAGGCTCGCGTGCTCACGGGCCCAGGGCCGCCCAGACCCGCTTCAGAGCGCTCTGAGCGGGTGGCTGAGACCTCGCGGGCTCTCCCTCTCAGAGGGACGGGGCTCGCCAAATGGCGGGCGTCCCTGCGCCATTGCAGCGGTGGGAGGGTTGCGTCATCCCTCGTGCCTCCGCCCTGGCGGCCCCCGCGGCCTCCAGGCCCCTGACTGTGCGGTCCGGCCCCTCCGACACGGCCGCCCCTCGCGGGCACAGTCCGCGGCAGGGACGGAAACGCGCCAGGAGGGACAAGCCGCGGGGCCGGTCGAGGCGGGCAGTGGCCCGGCGCAGCCTCGAGGCGGCGGGCGGCCCGAGGGAGCGGCGAGGAGGGGAGCCAGGGGCCAGTGAGCCCGACTCTGCTTCCCGCACTTTTCCCGCTGCGCTCGCTGGGCGCCGTCGCCGGGGCGTGTGTGGCGGCCGCCCGCCCGCGGCCACGGCCCTCGCCCAGCCCGCCTGACCCCGTCCTCAGCCCTGCGCCTCGAGGGCGCGGCCCAGGCGCAGGGGGCGGCGCGGAGGCCGGGCGGGACGGCGGACTCCGCCGCCCGCGCCTAGGAGCCCCCGCGGGCCCAGCCGCGGCGACGCTGCTCAGCGAGCCCCAACCCAGGCCGCGGGCTTCCCCTGGACCCCGCTCTCCGCCAGGAGAAGGTGCTGCATTCCCAGCCGCGTAGCGGGCAGTGGCGCCGGGACCAGCCCCCGGGGTCTTCGCCACAATAGCCAGTAAGGGCCGGGGCGGGGCGGGGCCGGGTCGCCAGGGTCCTGAGGTGTGGTGGGGCTGGGGCGGGGCCAAGTCGCCTCGGTACCGGGGCGGGGTCTCCTGGGGCCAGGCGGGGCGGGACTTGGGTCCGGGCGTGGCCGGGGGCGGGGCGTGGCGGGCGCCCCAGAGCGCAGGGGCGGTGGACGCGCGCTGGCCGCCGGACCACCGGTCCCGCGCCGGCGTGAGCAGCAACTTGGTGCCCCGCCCCCCCTGCCCCCCCACCCCCCCTGCCCCCCCACCCCCCCCCCGCCTCCCCTGGCCGCGGGCAGCCGACGCCGGGCCTGGCGGCCGGCGGGGCGGGCGGCGAGGGGACCGGCAGCGCCGGCGCGGGCTCTGGATCGCGCGGGGGAGGCGCTGGGTCTGTGGCCTGGGAACCCAAAAGCGCCCAGACACGCCCCGTCTCTGATCCGGAAGTTCAGCAGCGTCGGGCCCGGCGGGTGCTTGGAGGGGAGCCCGCCCGGTACTCCCGGGCCGCTGGCCTGCCTGGCTCGCCGGCCCCGCCCCTCTCTCGCCCGGCCCCGCCGCAGCCCCCCGCCTGGCCTCCGTCGTGGGGCCCTTGGCGAGGGGCGGACGCAAGACGGGGTGCACGCGGGTTGGGGGACAGTTCCTGCAGAGGAGCCTGCGGTCCTGAAACGCCTCCCGGCTCTCCGCGGCAGAGCGGCGGGGACGGGGACGCTCGCGGCCTCTGCTCGGGGCGCGCACACGAGCGGTCACCCGTGTCCACGACCGTCTTCGTGCGGCGGGAGCCCCGAGAGGGGGAGCTGCCTGCCTGGGCGGCGTGTGGCCCCGCAGCCTGTGGGTCCCGCTGCGTGGGCGACGCGAGGCAGGACTTGGTGATCTGCAGACGCCAGGGGCTCCGGGGTCGGGTGAGGGTGCACCCCGTGGGCCCCAGGGGCGATGTGGGCCCGGCCCGCGTGCCCCGAACAGCCGCCCAGGGGGCCGTTCCCTCGAGGAGGCCGGGCCGCCGCCTGGCCGCGCCCCCTGGAGCTTCCGCCGCCGTCATCCCGGGGAGCTCAGAGGAGCCGCGGGGCACCCGCAGACCCGCGCTCCGCAGCGCCGGGGGTGCGCGGCCCGGAGATCAGGCGCGGCCCAGGGCGGGGCGGGGCGGGGCGGGCTCTCCGGTACCTCTCTGGCCCGGGCGGCGCCGGGCCCCCTGGCCCGCCTCGGGACAGCCCGTCCGCTGCGCCTTCCCGGGACGCGAGCCGGGGCCGCCCCGCCCCGCCGCGCCCCGACTGCGTGAAAGTCCTTTCCGCGGAGGCCGCGGCACCGCGGGTGTCCGTCTCGGGCGCTGGATGGCGGAGCCCACGGGGGACGGGCGGGTTTGGGGGTGACGGGGTGTCCCCACTTGTGGGACGGCGAGTGAGAATAACCAAGACAGATATCCTCGCTGACTTGGCGGAGGGGGGGTATGGGGGGGGGAGACAAGTCTAGTTCCCGGAAAGAAGAAGGGGCTCCGAGAGGCCAGCGAGGGGCTGGGGTCAGAGGACGGGGGCGGCGGCCGAAGGGGGTGTCAGGGGGACCAGGTGTGGCGAGGACGGGTCGGGACACAGACTGGCCCCGGGGTGCCGTGGGCACAGCTGGCAGACCGCCTGTCCCCCACTCCCCACAGCCCCCCACTTAGCTTTAGCGCGGTTCACAGGGGGTCATTCCCCGTTTGTCGCAGCTGCCCCTCCCCGCAGTGGGGGCCGCTGCGCCCCCGGTCTCCCGCTGAGCGGCTCCCCCTGCGTCCGCGCACCCTGCCCCGCCCCCCTGGGTGCACGCCCGCCCCCGCCCCAGCAGGACGGGTCTCCCGGACGCGAGTCGCCGCCCTCTGGCGCGTCCAGCCGCGCTCCCCTCCCCCACACTCGGAAACAGGGCCGCCGCAGCGACGCTGCTCCCGGGAGCCCCGGGCTGGGGTAGCGGGTGGCGTCGGGCGGAGCGCGCCCCTGCGATGGCCGCGGGAACAGGATGTGGTCAGGAGGCCCGGCCGCGTGTGCGGGGGCGGGAAAGCTGATACACACCCTTTCCTGCCGCGGAGCCAGAGACCCCGCGGAAAGGACGAACGGCCCGATGTCCCCTCGGGGCCCCCCCGGGAAGGCGCCCCGCGTCTGGGGGACGAGCCGAGCAGCAGCCCCGAGGGAAAGAGTAAATAAATACAAGTCGCGCTGACTTGAGACCCACAGCGACGGCGTCCATGGAAAGACCCCGCGGGGCCGACCTGGGGTGGAAGGAGGCGCCGTCCAGCCGCGGCCGCGCCGCCTGGAGCTGGACCCGTGGCCGGGAGCGCGCAGCGCCCCCAGCCCCCCGCTGCTCCTGAACCAGGGATTCAGCAGATCCCCTTTCCGCTGTCCACTCCTCTGGTGCACTCCCTCTGGTCTACACCCGCGCGTGGACACGCAGACAATGACTCTTGAAGAAGAAGCACCAGTGCAGGGGCGCGCTGACCCGTCGCGGCGTGAGAGCAAGGGCGGGGGCGCAGCTGCAGAGCAGCGTCGTCAGCGTGGGGAGGCGGCTGTCCCGGGCGGGTGTGGGGGTGCAATGGGCCGGGCCTGGATTCCTCGTGGGAGCGGGGTGATTCACTTTGGGGGCGATGCGCTGGGTCCCGGGAATATTTTGGTTAAATGCATGTGGAGTGCCGTGGTGGGAACGCGTGGCGCCACAGGTGGGGTAAGTGCGGGGAGGCTCCCGGAGAATGAGGTGGGGCGCCCCCGAGCTGCCTGGAGTCCCCGCTGGCAGCCATCCGCGCGGCGGCGGCTCTGCAGCCTCTCCGGAGACCAACCAGAGGCCGAGATGTTCGCGGGCGAGGCCGAGCAGATCCCGGGCCCCGCGGGGGGCTCAGGGCCGAGCGGGGGGTGGGGGTACAGGTCGCCGCGCGCCGGGGCTCTGCGGCCTCCACCTGGGCGTGGGGGCGCGGGGGACCCCTGGATGCGGCTGGAGCATGTAGGGGCGCCTCCGCGGCCGGGGCGGAAGCGGGGGCGGGAGAGGAGCGGACCCCGCGGGGGCGCTGGGAAGAGCACAGTGTCAGGGTGCCGCGTGCCCGGGCCCCCGGGACCCCCGCGGCCCCAGGACCCTCCGCCCGCGTGCCCGGACCCGGTAGCTCCCACCCCGCGGCCCCAGGACCCTCCGACCGCGTGCCCGGGGCGCCCGGAGCCCGCCGTGGCCCCAGGACCCTACGCCCGCCTGCCTGGGCCCCCGGAGCGCCCCCCGTGGCCCCAGGGCCCCCCCTCCCGCGTTCCCGGGCCCTGGAGCCCCAGCCTGCGTGCTCGGTCCCCGGAGCCCCCCCCACCTCCCCAGGAACCCCGCCCGCGTGCTCGGCCCCGGAGCCCCCCATCCCCCTCGCGGCCCCAGGACCCTCCACCCGCCTGCCGGGGCCTCCGGAGCGCGGCCCCACGCCAGGGACGCCCACGACGCCCGCGGAAGAGCCGCTCAGACCTGGCCCCCGACTCGGAGCTGCGGGGGACGGTGTGCCTGGCGGGGGGCCGCGGACGGACTTGGCCCGGTTCAGAGCAGGTCTGGGGTGAGCGTCCCCCAAGCTCTGCTCTGCGGGGGGGACGACCCTGGAGGCGCCGCGGCCCCCAGAAGGCGGACGCGGCCCCGGAGCGACCCGAGGACACCTGGGGGGAGGGCGAGCTGCCGGCGGGGACCCCGCCCGGGACCCCGAGCTGCAGACGCAGTGGGGGAGCAGGAGCCCGACGCCCCCACCCGGACCCCCAGCCCCCCGGCGCACAGGGGCAGCCCACGGAGGGCGGGGCTCACGGCCACACCAGCGGCTTGGGACGGGTTGGGGGGCGCCTTCGCGTGGCGCCGGGGCAGGGGGAGCGAGGGGCCCCTCTGAGCCCCCGAGAGGAGAGTCGGGGTGTCCGAAGCGTCCTGGGGGGGTTCTCCGCAGCAGGCGGGAGAGTCTCAAAGAGCCGCTCGGACCAGCCGAGGCGGGCGCTGAGCCGGGAGCCCTGCCCGCGGGACGAGCCACGGGGCTCCCAGAGCAGCTGCGCTCCTCGCGGCCCCCGTGGGGGAGGCCCGCGGGCAGGAGGGCGAGGGCGGAGGAGCCGGGGCCTGCGGGGGCGCCCGGAGCGGCCCGCGGGAGCTGGTCTCAGGGTCTGGCGCAGGGTCCCCGGCAGCGGGGCACGCGGCCTGGAGTGGCGGGGACGGCGGTGAGCACCCTTGGGGCTGGGCGGTCACCCCAGGAGAGCGCGCGCAGCGGGGGTGGGGGGCGCTGAGCCCGCGGCCGGGATAGGCCGGAGCCGACGCCCCTGCGGGGAGCGGGGCTGTGGGGGGCGTCGGGAGCGACCATGGGGTCCTGCACACGGGCGCCTCGTTCCGCCCGCGAGGCGCCGGGTCTGGAAGGAGCGGGTCTCCGCCGTGTCCGTGGTGCTGCCGGGCTCGGGCGCTGCTCAGCCGTGCGGGAAGTGGCCGCAGGGTCCTGTGGCCAGAGAAGCCAGGGGGCACGGTGCGGAGACGGCTAGTGGCGGGGTGCAGGGGGCGGGGGTGCGGGTAGGGGAGACGGCTCCTTGCGGGGTTGCGCCCAACGCCTAGTGGCAAACCTGCAGCTGGAAAACAGGGGGCCTTTGGGAGAGCGGGCACGCTTGGCTGCTGGGGGTGGGCCCCTGGGGAGCGGTGGGCCCCTGGGGAGGGACGCGACCCTGCGGGAGGGGAGGGCCCTTGAGGAGGGGTGGGCCCCTTGGGAGGCGTGGGCCCCTAGGAAGGGGCGGGCCCTGCGGGGGTGGGGGTGGGCCCTGCGGGGCGGGGCGGGGCGGGGGTGGGGGTGGGCCCCTGGGGAGGGCCTGCGCACACGGCACCCCTAGGCCTCCGGGCGGCAAACATAAAGGCTCGTCGGAGACCAAGGAGCAGAGGAGGATCAGTGAGCACGGTTGCTGCAAACAAGGTGGGGGATGTGGAGGGTCCCGGGGGCGGGGGGCGGGGGGCGGGGAACGGGGAGAGGGTCCTGGGGATAGAGGGTCCAGGGGCAGAGGGTCTGGGGTGTAGAGCGTGCAGGGGGGAGAGGGTCCTGGGGTAGAGGGTCGGGGGGCAGAGGGTGGTGGTGGGGGGGAGAGGGTCCCAGAGGTAGAGGGTGCCTGGAGGGAGAGGGTCTGGGGGGGTTAGAGGGTCCCGGGGTAGAGGTTCCAAGGGGTAGAGGGACTTTCTACATCCCCCGCCTTGTTTGCAGCTGCCATGCCTATTTAAATACATTTCTTAAGACACCTCACTTTATTTGCATTTCGAGTTACAACATTCTATTTTTTATTTTAATTTTAATTTATTTATTTTTAAAAAAGATTTATTTATTTATTTCTACAAGCACTGGGTACAGTCAGAAGTGCGGGAGGGTGAGAGAATTCGCTAGAGCCAGAGCGGGGAGCACAACAGGCAGACTGATGAAGTACACTGCTGAGGGGACCCTCGCCAGTGGCCGGGCATCTAACCGGTGCTGCTGAGGCTGCAGGCAGCTTCGCAGCCCAGTGCTCAATGGCTGCGCCTCCAGGGAGGTCCCCTGTCTCGTATATTAATTTTCCATAAACATGTGGCTTCATTTCTGGGCTCTCCATTCTATCCATTAGTCTGTGTGTCTGATTTTGTTCCATTGCCATGCTGCTTTAACCACTCTGGCTTTATAGCATAGTGGAAATCAGAAGTATGATACCTTCATTTCTCCCCTTTGATATCAGGAAAGCTTTGGCTATTTGGGGTCTTTTGTGATTTCTTATGAACTTCAGTAACCTTTATTCTATTTCTTTGAAGAATGCCATGGGGTTTTTATTGGGATTGCACTGACTCTCTAAATTGCTTTGGGCTGGATGGCCATTTTAACAATGTTGATTCCTCCAACCCATGAGCTGGGTATATATTTTTTTAAAAGATTTTTTAAATTTATTTATACAATCACTGTGTACAGTCAGTAGCGCGGGAGGGTGAGAGATTTCACCAGAGCCAGAGTGGGGAACAGAACAGTGATGAAATACACTGCTGAGGGGAGCAGCAGGCACGGCAGGAGAGGTCTGCGCAGCATGTGGGATCCTCGCTGGTGGCCGGGGATCTAATCGGCGCTGCAGAGGCTGCAGGCAGCTTCTCAGCCCAGTGCTCTGCTGCGCCAACAGGGGAGGCCCGAGCTGGGTATATCTATTTATTTAAATGAAGGAGGATGGAGTACAGATGATCCAGGGTCTGTTGGCCAGGCTAAATTTCATTCTTTGTCCTTAGAGTAATGGATAAACATAATCCTTGTTGTTAACTTTCACAGCATTTACAGGATGACACTGAGAATTTCTTGTGTTTTTTAAATAACTAAGAATGTCTCACCCCTTGCCCTACCCACCAAAAAACCTCTTTCCTCATATGAATGACCTCTGCATTCTGGCAGTAACTTTCATATTATGCATAGGAATATAATAAAAATGAACATGAAATTCTGCCTGACAGGCATAAAATAAAATATTTGGGAATGTAATTTATTTAATAAGTAAGATGAACTGAACGTTGATGGAAGAACAGTTAATAGTTTAATGAAAAGTATATTATATAGGGCCTCCCCTGGTGGCGCAGGCAGTTGAGCGTCATGCTGTGAAGCTGTCCACAGCCTCTGCAGCGCCAGTTCGATCCTGGCTGGCTGGCGAGGGTCCCACATGGCGCGCAGACCTCTCCTGCTGCCCGCTGCTCCTCTCAGCAGTGTACTTCATCAGTCTGCCTGTTCTGTTCCCCGCTCTGGCTCTGGTGAATCCTCTCAACCTCCCGTGCCTCTGGCCTGTACCCCGGTTCTTGTATGAATAAGTAAATCTTTTTTAAAAAGGTATATTATATATATATATATATATATATATAGTCTGTTTTCTTCTGAATAACTTTTAAAGCATATTGACCAATCTCATATATAAACATAGTTAGCACATTTCTAGAAGAATATGAGTGTAGTATCATTCAGAAATCACAGTTCTTGAGTTCATGGGGTTATATCTTTCTGAGTCTAGTAAAAATATCATGAATTGTGTACATCATTTTAGTAAGGTCTTAGAGAAGTCGTCACATAGGTATCATTGAGCAAACCTGAATCTATTACAAACAGTATTTAGCAAGGCATTCTTATTTCTGAAATGCCACATTAGATAGAAGAAAATTATCAATATTTATGTACAAAGAAAAGTGATAGAATTTGTGATTACTGAATAGTCTAAGTGGTCAAACTCATCCAGATACTTCTTTTAAGTCTGAGAGAGATGTATGCTGTTATGGAGCATCAGACAAAATCCAGCTGTACTTCAATCTCATTTCAATCTATCATCACAGAAAACATTGACTATTTTTCCTGCAGTCATGCAGCTGTCAGCTATCCAACTATGGGTCTAGATTTGTGTTATAGTTTTATTTCTTACCTGTTCATTTTCATCAGAGTGCGGGGGGAACTGGGAAAGCTACCTTTGCCTCATTAATTTCTGGCTATCACTATATTATGGAGTTGAAAAACGATTTATAGGTAGCTTCTTGTCTTTAATATAGAGAAATGTTGCTATTCAGTTGTTCTGAATATAAGAGGGTTTTTTTTTTTGTTTTTGTTTTTGGTCTGTTTATATTTAGCCTGCTCATGTTTCTGGCCAACAAGGTACATATAAAGCCCAAAATACAAAGTAACTCTTCTTGGGAACAATAGTATGAAATAAATCCACAAAACTGAGGTCAGTATAGAGAGCTCATCTTACTAACAGAGGAAAGAATTGAGCTGAATATTCTGTATCCATGTAGAAAACACTTGAATTTCTGTGAATAAGGTAAATAGATTTTAGACTGTGAGATTCACAGTGATGATATACTAAAATATCCTTTATATTTACTACATTATAAAGACCCATTATATTTTTGTGTACAATGAATAATATTCTATACTGTAAGTCGTATGGAAACTTCCAGGGAAATGAAATAATGCCCCAAGCAAACATGCATGAAATGAATTAGCTTCATAGATTAAATGCCACATTTGGCCTTATATAGTAGCAGCCCTGAATGAGTCACTGAAATGGCCTTAAAATTGGAAATGTTTGCTGGTAGCCCCTGACCTATTCTTTTCATCTTCTTCTCCCAGCAGAAATACTCCGTGAGTACAAAGTAGATTACTTTACACTTTTGTTTCACAAACTGAAGGGAAAGTAAGAGGCTCATTTGCATGTCTGGACCTGGGATTTCTTGCATAGCACTGCAACCATATGCATGGCTCTTGCCAGGTCCCGTACCAAAAGCTTTCCCTGTGGTCCTTGTGCTCCAGAAAATTGCTGATCTTGGCTATCTTTTCCTTATATGATAATTTTTTTTTTCTTTTCTGTATTTACTGGCCTGCTTTCTATTTAAATTTTCATCTTTCTCAAATCTCTCTCTCTGGTAGAGTGTACTGATGATGAGCCGATGCTGGTTTTCATGGAAAGCCTTGTAGACTATATCTATGGCTCTAGTTTTCTGAGTTATCCTTTCAGAACCCTCAGGTAACCACTCCAGGATGAAGTCCAGATCACAGCACCTCTTAACATGTTCCTGTTATGGGCCATGCATATGTGCGGATGGACCCACCTTACATTCCTGGAAGACAGTCCTGCACATACTTCAGCTTCAGGTGGGGGAACTTCCCTCTTGGCCCCATTTTGTGGTACTTAGAAGATTCCTATTACACAGATCTGGATCAAAGAACAAATTGATTAGTAATTTGAGCAGTTTATATTCATATATCTCTATACGTGCATTCCCCTAGAATAAACCTAAAATTTCATTAAGACTTTCACGTGAAAAATTTAATTCAGGGCCTGCAAATATCCTCTAGGCTGATTGTAAGATAAGGTTTGTCTTTAAGAATAAATGGAAAATGTCTAAATCAGAGTATTCTATGTACATTAATTATCATTATATGGAACATTTATTTAATCATATATTAATATGATAGAATTCCATCCTTCTTTGTAAATCAAAGGAGATCATTGCTATCATTTCTTTTTTAATGCCCAGCAGTTCTTAGTGATGAAAAATATAGTCATCCCAATAGCTAACGTTCAAATTTAAATTAGGTTATTGCTTATTTACTATAAAGTCTTGGGGAAATTATTTTTTTAGTTTTTTTCTTGTGTCCCTATCTGTGATAGGCAGGTAATAATAGCAATAGCACATGACTCTTGAATTAAGTGAAGGGA